AGGTATTTGATGAAAATATAAAAATAACTTGGATACCAAAATCAGAATGTTGCTATGTCATGCTTGGTTCTCCTATGTTTGGATTGCTCAAAATTGTGGAAATGTAGACCTTTGTTATCAATTTGTACAACGGTGTAACGATATTCAGTTCCAGACTTGGGGGGTGGGGGGTCGCGTAGCCTAGTGGTTAAAGCGTTCGCTCGTCACGCCAAAGACCCGGGTTCGATTCGCGACATGGGTACAATGTGTGAAGCCCATTTCTGGTGTCCCCCGCCGTGATATTGCTGGAATATTGCTAAAAGCGGCGTAAAACCATACTCACTCACTCCAGACTTGGCCTGTCAAAGTTACAAAGTCAACGTATCGAAATACGCAATAAAACAATTCTTGAAGTGAAAAACATGTATTACATCTTACAGATAGAACGAATCTTATCAGAATTATGTGTAAATTTCTTTGTTTGTCACACAATCGAAAAATCAACAATGTCGCAATTGTCCGTCATAAGATATTAATGCACTCAATGCAATTTTCAGCTTACAGAAGATAAATATCACTTCCTTCTTGTGCGTTCTTTTTATGCAGTTATCTGTTTAAAAAAAATATTGGAAGATACTCCGGTATCTGTCAAACGAAGGAAAACATTTGTCAGTTATAATCGTCGCAAAATATGAAACATATTCAGGGGCTATAAATGAATTTAAAAAGAAACATACGTATGTTGTTACACATGTATATAAATACTGTTGCGTCTGTTTGAAATTACAAATTTTGCCTCAGGCTGGATGATTATTAAACAGCTGTTTCAATCCATTCGTTTCAAATGAATTACTAGCTTCTTAAACGCATTGCAGGGTAACGCATTATCACTTGGCAGACCATGCGTGAAGGCATGATACTAGTGCAACGCAGTCGTGTATGGAAGTGGTGTACATACCGTGTAGATTTACATGAAGCTTTTCTTCGGTTTCAGGGGCGGTCGGGTAGCCTAGTGGTTAAAGCGTTGGCTCGTCACGCCGAAGACCCGGGTTCGATTCCCGACATGGGTACAATGTGTGAAGCCCATTTCTGGTGTCCCCCGCCGTAATATTGCTGGAATATTGCTAAAAGCGGCGTAAAACCATACTCACTCACTCACTCTTCCGTTTCATCATTCATAGTTGTAACGGCATTCTTTGCTTACCATAAGGTCATTTTTTCTTATGATATGCCTCGTGGATCAGAAGGCAGTTTGTACTCTTAGAAAATTATATTCGCCCTCATGGATCATCCCGAATTTGATCGCGAGTCTCTCATAATAACCACCAACCCTTACAAGTTGTCAACTGATCTCCAGGCTCACACACAGGGTACACCATACTGTATGCCACTTGGGATCGGTTGACAACGAATTCATTCATATAGCCCCGCATCCAGCAACGATACACTTCCAAAGGACAGCCAGTTCGCGCCGGGCGTTCAAACGACAGCGAAAGCCATCATGTAGAAGAAGAAGAAGAAGAAGATTTTATTAATGTCTCACTTGTATACCACATTTTTGTTAAAACAAATTAAAAAATATAGTTACATTCAAGTTGTATACAACCAATCGCACAGCGATTTATGAGACGGCACATTGTAAACAGGCACATAATAAAAAAATATAGCAAAAGCTAAATATTAAAATATACATACATTAATATACAATACAATGTTTAAGACTCAATGATATAAAATATTCCTCCGGGTATATAAAATGTCATGGCAGGTTCTGGCACAGTAAAAGGTGAGGTCATCAGTTGATAGAATCCTAATATATTTATTTTGCTCTGTCAAAGAAGTAAAATCTATCCATAAACTATTGCACTTGTTGATGAGGCTAAAACGTATTTCGTCGGAAAGGGGACAGAATAAAAGGACATGCTTCATCATGTAGGACCTGTTGACCACCACGCTGTAAAGTTATGCATTCAAACTAAAGATAATCCTTTAATCTGGATCAGAAGGCAGTTTGTACTCTTAGAAAATTATATTCGCCCTCATGGATCATCCCGAATTCGATCGCAAGTCTCTCATAATAACCAGCAACACTTACGGGTTATCAACCGATCTCCAGGCTCATAAACAGGATACATCACACTATATGCCACTTGGGATCGGTTGACAACGAATTCATCTCGCCGACATTCATTCATACAGGCCCGCACCCAGCAACGATACACTTCCAAAGGACAGCCAGTTCACGCCGGACGTTCAAACGATAGCGAAAGCCATCATGTAGGACCTGTTGACCACCATTCAAACTTCAGATAATCCTTTAATCTGACTCTCCTTACTGACCATAATACAGTCATTGACAGTGTGTTCAGAAGCCGAGTTCTTTAGTCTTTCGTGAAGTGAGATGTTTGAATGTAATGAATATTGAACCTGTGTGAACAGTCTGAGAACCTGATATCACAAAACAGTCTGTAATTTAATCATTTTTACTGTGAGATAAAGCTGTCTGAACACTCAATTTCTGAAATGTTAAATGTTTTAATGACATGTCGGGACAGTTTATTTTTTACACAGGGGTGTGCCCAATCGCCTACTATGTAGACGTATTGAAGCGTAGGCGAATTGGCGTGTAGGCGAATTGGCGTGAATGAGTGAGTGAGTATGGGATTACGTCGCTTTTAGCAATATTCCAGCAATATGACCGCGGAGGACACCAGAAATGGGCTTCACACATTGTACCCATGTCGGAAATCGAACCAGGGTCTTCGGCGTGACGAGCGAACGCTTTAACCACTAGGCTACCCGACCGCCCCTGTAGTCGATATGGAAGTAACCCGACTAAGATAACCAGGTACTCTCTTAGCTCTGGGGACATTTCATTAGTTCAGAATGCGATGAAGCGAAACGACTCTGCTCCAGATGCTGAAGGAAGGATGCCGTCGTTTAAAAGACCGTGAAGGACTTTTGTCAATGCAAGTTAGTCGTAGACATCAGTGCGTGAACTACATACGGTAAAACGTGCCAAATCTCCTGGGGCTAGTTTAAAGGCGGGAGCTTGTCTTCATTTTCATCCTTTATTTAACAAATAAACGACTCGCGGTCGTTTTCAATCTTACAATAAAACACTGCAGGGAGAATAAACCCCGCAACAACGACCACGAATGTTCATAAAAAGTGCAAGCTTAAAAAATAAGGAAGAATATATATAGATGTCAACTTCTTTATTATGAGGAACACAACGTTTCGGAGTATATGCTTACTCCTTCATCAAGGTGAGGTGAAATGGGGTTTAACGTCGCGTCCAAGATTATTGCACTTATATAGCGACGTGCATGTACGTGTATATGTGTGTGTGGCTGCTTGTACTAGTCCGGACTGATGCCGATTTATAGTGCTAGCACACTGAGATACCATGCCGCAGTTTAACATGAATACCCCACTCAGACACAGTATACTGACTCCGAGCCGACCAGTCCCTTTTAGCCCTTTATTGCCGAGCGCCAGACAGGGTAACAACAAGTACCATCTTTTAACGTCTTTTGGTATGACGCGGCTGGGGATCGAACCCCGGACCTTCCGCTCTCCGGGCGGACGCTCTACCACTCTACCGGTCCCTTCATGAAGTGAATGAATGAATGCCATGAGGCAGAGATCATATATAGTTAATAAGATAACAAAAGGGGGAAATAACAAAGGTAGAAACTAAATTAAGGAAGCCCACAGATTATTGGCGCTGACATTTGATTAGCAAACTGATTCGAATCTCCAGAAATGACTTCCTGATAGAATAATATTTCATCGTGAAATAAACCACGCTTCTTTCTTCATTGGTCTTGGCGATTTATCGCGAAGCAATCTTATGTATATAGTTACAAGATTTCTGAGAAGGGCGTGGTCACGAATGATCCGCGCGAGAAATACTAGTATATATATATATATATATATATATATATATATATATATGTAGTAGTAGTAGTAGTAGTAGTAGTTTATTTCTGTCTCACTTGTTTAACATGGACATATACTACAGTGTATGCATATTCATTATTAAACATATAAAACAACCGATCGTTCGGCGATTTATGAGAGACATAATTTGTAAAATACACAATGTGCTAATGTACATATAAAGAGATATAAAAGTTTAACAGAACAAAAAGCCTCTGCGTTTCGTTAAAATGTCATGGCAGATTCTAGCAGTGTGAAAGATAGGAGCAGGATTCGCTAAAATAGGTTCAATATTACTCTATTTGTTAAAATGTCGAAACCTGGCCACATTTCACAATGAGCCAGCGTTCAGGCTTGATGAGATTCCTATAAATAGAATAATATTCCTATAAATGAATAGACATGTTTTCTACTTTAGTTTAAACATATTTTATTCTCATAAAAAGGATTAGGCCCAAGTTATCACAACTTAGAACGCCCTCTCCCATAGATTTTCATGTATGCTTATTTACAATTTAAAAATTAAATGGCAGAAAGGAAAGAAACGAGCTAGAGAAAAGTATGTACATTCCCAATGCTCACTTAAATCTTTTTGCTTTCTTTCTATGTGAATGTACATAAAGTACATCTTCTACTAAAGGTACAATACAGTAAAGTACGGTTATAACGAACTCAAAGGGACTACTATTTTTAGTTCGTTATAACCGTAGTTCGTTATAAGCACATATACAGCATAACAACAGCAAATAGTCGGGACTAAAAAGTAAGTTCGTTATATCCGCCAGTTCGTTATATCCGCCAGTTCGTTATAAGCGTGTTCGTTATAACCGTAGTTTACTGTACATGCAAAAAAACCAAATACAACTCGATGTATTTCGAAAGAGAATGATTCGTGGCTTGTTACGCAAGTTTATGTTTCGTTCTGAATTACTCTTCGTGACAATTCTCCCTCTTTCATAATTAATGACTGCTTTACGCCTGACTTACGTCGATGCCTTTTTTTCATTTTTCAACCACGGAATTTTCCACTGCACACTCTGTCGTTCAGCTCTAATTCTCAAACCAAGTACGAAAGGATTCCTATAAAACGCAGCTCAGCTCAACTCAACTAATCGATCAATGCAGTGTTCGGCATTTGCAGCGTCTCAGGGATCTTAACAAGCCAAGTGAAAACTCCGAAGGTATGTTTAACTAAATAATTTAGTCATCACTTCTCCAGGAACTCACAAGAGCAATGTTTCACCATAAATCGTTTAGATTATTGTCAGTGTACATCGTTTAATGAAAATTCGATATCCTCAACTTATATATCTTTCTTGTCGGTATCGATTATTTAGAACTACCGACAAAGAGACCCGTAAAGATACGGGTTAGAATAGATCTTCAGCAACCCATACCTGCCATAAAAGGCGACTATGCTTGTCGTAAGAGGCGACTAACGGGATCGGGTGGTCAGGCTCGCTGATTTGATTGATCATTTCATCGTATTCCAATTGCGTGGATCGATGCACACGATGTGAAACACTTGATTGTCTGGTCCAGACTCGATTATTTACAGACCGCCGTCATATAGCTGGAATATTGCTGAGTGCGGCGTTTAACAACAAACAAACCGACGAAAAATAAGGGAACTAATGATGTGAATGTAGCTATCGTTGAGGTGTACATTTACAACACCGTGGGGTTGCGTCTGAACGAAACATCTAATCACAATGAAATGTCACATCATGCATGAACAGCACGTGATGCATGTGCACATGTGTGTGCCAAAGTGTGTGCGCCAATAGGGGAACTCACAACCACACTTGAAAATACCTGAGAGACAGTTATCTCAGTGAACGATAAAATGGCGAATTGTAAGTATAATAGAGGTGGACATCAATATGGGCCAAGTACCACCAAATGGTAACCAAAAGACGTCAAAAGATGGTACTTGTTGTTACCCTGTCTCGCGCTCGGCATTAAGGGGCTAAAACAAGGAATGGTCGGCTCGGAGTCAGTATACTGTGCCTGAGTTGGGTATTCATGTTAAACTGCGGCATGGTATCTCAGTGGGCTAGCAATATTAAATGGCATCGGTCCGGACTAGTACACACGCACACGCACACACACACACACACACACACACACACACACACACACACGTGCATGTTGCTTCCTATCTTTGTTCTATTTGTTGGTATTATTGCAAGGAAGATGACAATGCCAGGCCACATCGTTCCAGGTCGTCACCGAGTATCTCCGATGAGAAGATATACGGACATCAGATTGGCCCGCTAAGTCCCCATGCCGCAAATAGAGCATCTGTGTGGTGTTCTCGGCCGTTTAGCTTTGAGTAGCTATTCAGACGGAATGTCGGGGAACACAAAGGACAGCCATACTCAAGTTAATCAACAGTATGCTATCAACTTGCACGTGTCGTACATGTATCGACCCACATGGAGGACACACGACACATTGATCTACACGCCCGACATAAATTTCCCAGAAATTGATCGTCATTACACCTTTAAAATCACTTCATCAGTTCCCTTATTTTGGTTGGTAGTATATCCTAGGGTCTTTTTACACCAAGAAACATACTCTTTGTATTTCACTCTATCATTTAGTTCCGGTCCATAGCTCTAGCCAGATATAGCCTTAACCGCTAACCTATTTGATAATATCCAGCATGAAGATACCAACATGTTGACCATGTCATTGTCCGTGGCTTGTCTAAACCTGAATTCCTGGGGTGATGTACAAAGACACTTGTATGACGCAGTTGTACGTTAACTTGTGGCCACAATAGCCGTAGGGATTCAGTGTTTGGGCAGGTTCTCAGCAACATTTGCTGGTTTCACCGTGAGTTTATGCGCAGTGTGTTGAGAACGTCAGCAACCCTGCAGAGTTGGATGAAGTTGGCTGGCCTGAAAAGTGAAACAGAAGACCTTCTGTTTGCTTCTCAGGACAAGTCACTTCCCAATCGAAACCGTGAATGTGTGGTTTTGCATCAAAACATATTACATATTACATGATTGTCTAACATATTATCTTAAGGACTTGGCTTGATCCTGTTTTACCGTTTCGCCGTGCTTGTGGTTACGACACAGATGTGCATCAACGGTACGACCACGAATATGTAGAGGGCGTCATGGAAAATGATAAATACATAACTCTTTGGAAGGGGCCCTATACAGCCTCAGACATATCCAAACCAACAAACCTGATCCTGTCCTTTTTGATATAACCAATAATCATCATTGAAGTTGCTGTCCCTTTTGACACGAATGTGATTGAAAAGATTCAGGGAAAACATGGCAAATATGCGGACCCCGCTTTCGAAATGTCGGAGTTTAACAAACATGTTATTTTGACATGGTGAACTTTCCTCTGAAACATTGCCGCATAATGTTGAACCACTTTCCTCGGAAACATTGTCGCATAATGTTTAACAATGAAGGAAGATGACCTTGTTTCAATTTATCGAGGCAGATGGCCGTTCTATTCATTTCACATACGTGTATCTGCACGTGAACCTCTATATTATCTGCGCCGCGTTTATCTTAATACAGACAACTCGACACTTGCTCAACAAAGGTAATTCTTACTTGATATGTTCTTCTTTTGTTTCATTTTTCAGTTTATACATACTTTGTTAACAAAATTTAGGGTAGAGAACATTTTATTCAAGGAGATGTGAGATCCTTGTGGTTAAAGCGTTCGCTCGTCACGCCAGTGTGTGAAACGGATTTCAGGTGTTATTTCCGGAATGTTACTAAAGGCTCACCCAATCACTCACTCTCATACAGCATGTATACCAATTTAAGAATTTGCTCATGTTTTTATATTTTCAAAATATGCATGGCCATAAAACGTTGACCCAATTACGAAGTTGATATGTAACATACAAAGGCACACAAATGAACGTATTTCTATAAAAGCTTCAGGTATATGGAGGATCTGACATCGTTTTCTAATGTTCATATATCCAATTCCCTTCCACTGATTTACCCACCAGAACTCGAAATAAAAGAGATAACCGAAAGCACCCATCTGTTCTGGAGAGATATACATAACTCTAGTGATATAAGTAAAAGTAGTTATATTTAATTTACCAAGTTGACATCGCCAAAGGTTTGTCGCATTGATAAAAATGTCCACCAACATTCATCTTCCCGAGGCAACAGAGCTAACTGACTTTAAAAGTTCAGTTTCCACCCTTGCCGAACTAGGCTGGAATTCCTGGGCTCGATCGTAGCGCCACCAGTGGTTATTATGAGTTATGTCCGTTCTGAGCCTCTCCTGTGGACCAATCCGATTCCATCACTTGCATTTGTTTCAAACAAAATGGCGGCGCCTAGTCAAGACGATCTGATCGATAATCAAGATCTATATTGTGATAAAACGGGTCTTACATCGCGAAGAACATCAAATCACGCGAGTGAGTGAGTGAGTGAGTGAGTGAGTGAGAGAGTGAGTGAGTTTGGTTTAAAGCCGCTTTTAACAGTATTCCAGTTATATCACAGCGTGTCAGCTTAATGTGGGAGGAAATCCCAAAGTGATGCAGGTCTCAGACGTTAACCACTTCGGTGAAACACAGAGCACAGGTATGGCGCTGACAAACCGACAAACATAATCGGGGATTCGAACCCTCAGTCATAGGTTTCTGGTGTGCTCAAGAGCCGCAACTGCACAGCGAATCTCGGCGCCTTAGACGACTGGGCCACCCGTGCCCCCTGTTAATCCAGAAATAAGTAAGTAGTAAAAGAACTTAGTGTAAAACCAACAAAGAACCAACAAGTGGTATACAATCAACAATTGTATTACAACATTAACTAGGTTTACAAATCAATACACATTACTGCACAACAAATACAATGGCAGTACACAAAAGAGCGACAGCGCAATATCCAATGGTAATATAGAATTTGATGGCAGTGGTCAGTATCAAATAAACAAATACAGTGGTGATAGCAAAAGTCAGTGATAATAATATATATTCACCCATTGGCTACAGTGGTTAAGCTTCCGAGATGCGCTGGGCAGGGAATCAAGGATGATGACTGATCCTCACATGAAAGATGCTCTTGTCGTGATGAAACCTCTTGAGAGTCAAAACGTGTGTGTGATGTAAGTAACCACGCTATTGTCCCCGTATATACATCCTAACAATTGTTTCGAAAATATACTATCACCGTCCGCGGGAGACCCGGACTGAAAGGTGACACGCCACATATACATCTAAATATAGTACCTTCCTGAAGACTGATCACTGCCCGAACACAATGCAATAAGCGTCTACTGAATCCCAACAGAAACAATGTAACACAGTTTATTGTTCAACAACAGAATACACTCAGTCTGCCATATAACAACCTCCTGTAGCTGATGTGCGGACCAGAGGTGAGGTGAGGGGAAATGCAAGATTATGGCACTTATATAGCGACGTGTGTGTGTGTGTGTGTGTGTGTGTGTGTGTGTGTGTGTGTGTGTGTATGTGGCTGCTTGTACTAGTCCGGACTGATGCCGATTTATACTGCTTGCACACTGAGATACCATGCCGCAGTTTAACATGAATACCCCACTCAGACAGTATACTGACTTCGAGCCGACCAGTCCTTGTTTTAGTCCACTAATGCCAAGCGCCAGACAGGGTAACAACAAGTACCATCTTTTAACATATTCTCGCCTTCGAACCCCGGACCTTCCGCTCTCCGGGCGGACGCTTAACCACAAGACCACGAAGGCGGTATGTGCGGACCAGAACGGTTGTAAGGTATTGATGCAAGTTCATGTGGCCCATGTGTTTACAGCCAGAGATTGTTGTGGGAGTAAACCAGTTTTCTGCATAGTGTTAGCAGTGGCAAAAAGATACATTCCCTGAAACAGAATATTACGCCGGAGGCACTGTAGGATTAGGTGGCGGAGTAGACTCATCACTCAACGGCTTGGTCGTCGCAAAAGAAGAGGACTTTTATGTTTGCCCCAAAGTTGGATGGCCAGTGTGATTTGGAACAGCTCCACTTGAGTCAAGTCGCGTGCAGTTCCATCAGTAACCAACTAGTTTGGTCATCTGCTACTGAACCATTTGCCCTGCAGGTAGCCCCCACCGGCTGCGTCTTTAAACAGCTGAAGAATATCGCTACCTACCCACAGTTGACCCTGAAACACTGAAATGCCATTACAACTGGTGAGGAATGTGAACCACATGTGTAAATCTTCCTTGACCCAGTTGGTAATCCTAATATAATGTGATGTTAAGGTTGCTTACCTTTACTAAGCACGTCTATTAGCCTACGGCTGAATGCCCTTGCCATTGGTATAGCCCTGCACGTAAAGTTAAGCTTCCCTATGAGAGACTGAAGTGCCCTTTACGTGACATTTACGTTACCTGTCGACAGTGGCTGAATTGTTGAATCATATCTGGCACACGCCACGGAGGAGGCCTCTGCGTCTATAAAGTCATTAATAGATTTACCCTTGGGATAAGATAATTGGTGAATTAGACGGAAATAATCGGCATGCTTACCTGGATGTTGAACATGGCATGGCTACTTGTATGGCACCAGGCCTATTGGAAATTCTTGGAGGTTGTCTTGTGGTATGTCCTTGAATGGGCCCGACATCCTGCCCAGGTCGACTTCCTTTTGTAGCTTTTGTTTCAAGTAGCCCGCCATGCCTCGGTGCGTGGCTAATCGCAAGTTTCTTTCAAGGCGGCTTGGAATAGCTTGTAATAGTTCTCGCGCTTGGAGGGGGGCGGGGGCAGAAGCGTCATCCCTCCTGAAATAGATCAAATACAAAGAGTGATTTATATGTAGCATAAATCCATTTAATATTTAGTACTAAATGCAATTACTCTGTTGCCAGTGAGGAGTAGTCCGTCTATGTTCACGTCAACCGCCTGCCTCGTCAAAACGTTCTCGCCATCAGCTCTTACCTCCATGTTAGATTATAAACAAGTAGAATGTTGATCCGTCATTAAGACTAAAGTCAAAGCTTGAAGCTGCCGCCATGTAAGTAGTTGACAGTGTAGACATCTTTGTGTGGTAGACGACAGATATCGGTGGGTAGTAGACAATGGTGGATGGTATCGATGGTAACTAGTCGTCAGTGCGTGGTCGACATCAATGTGTAGTGGACACATTCTGCGGCAGACTTCAGTTGTTGGTAGACGTTTAAAGAGGATATTTTAACAGAAAACCCACTCTAAACCTATTGGGAACGACAGTCAATTTAATTCATTGAGAAAGCAGACACTGAATCAATGTATGCCGATTAAAAGCAGGTCATGTGTGGTGACTACTTTTGAATATACATGTATCTGTGTATCGGATTGGTGCATTCAGTGCACGACAACAGCCTGCCTGGTCATATAGTTCTCGCCTTCAGCCCATACCTGACAGTCAGAATATGACCTTGTAGTATGATGACCTGGCTGGATTCAAAGCACGAAACAGTCGTCACGTTCATGTGTTCTGGAAAATGGTACACTGTTAACTATTGTTGTTGGTAAAGATTAAGACATAAGCAAGTTGTGAAAAAGAGAGAGGCAGATCACATGTTGAACATTGTCGAATCAGTGTATGCCGATTAAAAGCAGGTCATGTGTGGTGACTCCTTTTGAATATACATGTATCTGTGTATCGGATTGGTGAATTCAGTGCACGACAACAGCCTGCCTGGTCATATAGTTCTCGCATTCAGCCCATACCTGACAGTCAGAATATGACCTTGTAGTATGATGACCTGGCTGGATTCAAAGCACATAAGCGAGTTGTGAAATGAGAGAGGCAGATCACATGTTGAACATTGCCGTGTCTTCTTTCTGTTAAGCAGAAACAGTATATAACAATGTCTGAACCCCGAGGGAACTGGTCCAACTGGCTGGAGTTCCTGTTCTCTGTGATCGGATGTATGGTTGGCCTGGGAAATATATGGAGGTTCCCCTACATCTGCTTTCACAGTGGAGGTGGTAAGTGTCTGTGGTATTGAACCAACGCTGTTGCATTTGCATTTGCATTAGCATTTGAACGATTGTTATAAATGTCATGTATGGTTCCATATTGTTCACATGTGTTCTAAATCTGGAACTTAGGACTTGGTCCCGGAATATGCTGTTGAGAATGAAATTAGGGTGCACAAAATTATATAAGGTGTACAGAAGTGTTTACTGTAGAGCATACGCCACGTAGATGCCGGGTCAGACTACGTCTCCAGCTACAGTGGAGGTGGTGAGTGTGTTTGTTTGTGGTACTGAATCAACATTGTCAAAGCTAGTGTTATGCATTAGACCTGTTGTTAAAAAGATCATATTAGGTACCAAATATGTTTCCGTTTTTTGTACACCGGGTGCTTACAGTGTCCTATATCCCGGAAATAAGGCGACTATAGGACTATGATGCCTTTGTGGACATTGTGGCCTTGTACGTCAAAGGTTTATAAAATATACTGTTCAGAATCTGGTAAGGGAACATTATGTCCAGTGTACTGAATTGTTCACTGTAGTTCATAGGTCACGGAGAAATCGGGACAGACTAGATCTCCAGCAACCTGTCGTGACCAGCTGGTCTTGAGAGGCGACGTGATGGATAGGTTGGTCAGAATCTGTGACTTGGTGGATTGCGTGTGGTCGTACCCCGACAACGTGTGGCTCTGCTCATAATATCAATCCCTAGTCTGTCTGGTCAAGTTTATATTAAAGGCCGCCGCTTATAGCTGGAATATTGCTGAGTCGGTCCGAAACGACAAAGAAAAGACTACCACTGATTTTATGTGATCAAAAGACAATCCTGAATCGAATGTATATGGTGCGTCTCTAGTATAATGACTATCCATTTTCTTGATCTGCGGGATACATTCTAAAACAATGTGTTATTACAGATCTATCCCCATCCCATGTTTGCAATAATAACACAGTGAGCATAAGTTTAGAATACACTAGAAGCTGCTGTTATGACAAGAACTATAATGTAGTGTTTTGTTTAATTTATTTACCCCCTCCCCCTATACACACGCACACCCTCACCCACACCCACACCACACCCACACCACACCCACACCCACACCCACAAGACACCCACAAGACACCCACACCACAACCACACCCACACCCACACCACACCCTCACCCACACCTACACCCTCACCCACACCACACCCACACCACACCACACCACACCCTCACCCACACCCACTTCCACACCCACAACACACCACACCCACACCCACACCACACCCACAACACACGCACACCACACCCTCACCCACACCCACACCCACACCACACCCACAACACACGCACACCCACACCCACACCCACACCCACACCCACACCACACCCACACCCACACCCACACCCACACCCACACCCACAACACACCCACAACACACCCACACCCACACTCACTTCCACATTCCACACCTGCACACATACATGCCAATAGTGGCGTAAAAGTCATTCACACACACGAAACGTTAATTGTTGCCTCCATACGACAGGTAAAGCTGATGTGTTATGTGAAACTGAAGCGGTTAATGAGAAAGCTTACCATCGTCTGTTTTAAAGTCTGTCTATGATGTTTTACATGCAATCAAATCTGAATGCCCTTTTTAAAGATGTATGTTTACGAATTCGAGCGGCACAAGAATTATTATTGACATAGTGAATGAGTGAGTTGGGTTTAAAGCCGCTTTTAACAGTATTCCAGTTATATACCGGCGTGTCAGCTCAATGTGAGTGGAAAGCTCAAAGTGATGCAGGTCTCAGACGTTTACCACTTCGGTCAAACCCCAGAGCACGGATATGGTGCTGACAAACCTAGAAACATAATCGGAGCGAACCTGGTTTCGAACCCACAATCATAGGTTTCTGGCGTGCACAAGGGACGCAACTCTGCACAGCGAATCGCGGCTGCCTATTGCCATAGTGACAGATATGCACTTATATATTATGCAAATAACAGAACTTTCATATAATGCCAGAAACAGAAACAGTATCAAGAATAGTATTATTTGTTTCATGTATCCTCGCAGCTGCCTTCCTGATCCCTTACTTCCTGTCCATGTTTGTGTGCGGGATGCCCGCCATCTTGTTGGAGCTGATGTACTCTCAGTACTCCAACCTCGGACCCGGAAGAGTGTGGATTATCTGCCCTTTGTTTCAAGGTCAGTGTTCGTGTTTCCATGTTGTTCCTGTAATAAAACCCGGATCCTGCAAGGTCAAACAACACACCATGGTTTGCAATTGACCACTTGAGGGACGCATCACTGTACAGGGATATTGCTTATGAGTGAGTGAATAGAAGGTGTGAATGTAACGCCATAGCCACAATAATGGGAACTTTGAATGAAAGGACGAGCAACACTCCCCTCGATTTCTTTTTCAGTCCGTCTTTGTTACAAGCAATGCACCAGTATTCCTCCGATATGGGGGAAACAAGTGATACTTAGACACGCCGAAGGCCCGGGTTCGATTCTCCACATGGGAACAATATGGGAAGATCATTCCCGATGGCCGCCGTCGTGGCAATGCTTGAAGATTGTTAAGAGCGGCGTAAAGCCTACTCACTCACTTCTACACGAATGCAGCGTCATGTTCTGTGGTTTGTGTGTGTATCTAGTTAACGCAATATATTACCGCTATGACACCGCATCTGGGAAATATAGTAGTTAGCGATCAAGAGCAAGTACCTGCTCCATCGATGTACAATGTAGGGTGACGCGCAATGAATGAGAGCCTCACCACCCACCCCCTATACTGACTCCGAATCCGAAATGTGCTATAATATCACAATGGTTATGACACATTTATGTCAACACTGCATCTATGTTTCGGGGACAGGTTATGTCCCAATGTTGTCACCTGTAAACATACTTTATTCGTGTTCCTGCATCGATTATGGCCTATTGTCCTCATCTGTGTACATATTTTATCCGTGTTCCAGACATCGCTTATGGCCAATTGTCCTCATCTGTAAACATATTTTATCCGTGTTACTGCATCGATTATGGCCAATCGTCCTCATCTGTGTACATACTTTATCCGTGTTCCAGACATCGATTATGGCCAATTGTCCTCATCTGTAAACATACTTTATCCGTGTTCCAGACATCGATTATGGCCAATTATCCTCATATGTGTACATATATTATCCGTGTTACTGCATCGATTATGGCCAATTGTCCTCATCTCTTAATATACTATATCCGTGTTCCAGACATCGATTATGGCCTATTGTCCTCATCTGTGTTCATATGTTATCCGTGTTCCAGACATCGATTATGGCCAATTGTCCTCATCTGTGTTCATATGTTGTCCGTGTTCCAGACATCGATTATGGCCAATCGTCCTCATCTGTAAACATACTTTATCCGTGTTACTGCATCGATTATGGCCAATTGTCCTCATCTGTAAACATACTTTATCCGTGTTCAAGACATCGATTATGGCCAATTGTCCTCATCTGTAAACATACTTTATCCATGTTCCAGACATCGGCTATGTCCCAATGTCTTCACCTGTGTACATACTTTATCCGTGTTTCAGGCGTCGGTTATAACCCGTTGTCCCCACCAATGTACACACTTTATCTGTGTTCCAGGCATAGGTTACGGCATGGTTGTCCTCACTGCCATCATCAGCATCTATTACAACGTCATCCTCGCCTGGACCCTCTACTACCTCGTGGACTCATTCAGTACAGTCCTTCCTTGGAGCACGTGCGACAACGAGTGGAACACTGACCTTTGCCGTATCAGGACTGACAAGTCGAATTCATCATACTTGCCTCTACTTGGAAATGAAACTCTTGTAAATACTACATTATCAGAGCTTGGAACACCCAACATCCAAAATCCAATGTTGGTAAACATGACCAACCAGACAGTGACACCTTCTGAAGAGTACTGGAGGTGTGTGCCTTTTTGTAGTATGGGGCCGACCATACTGAAGATGTTTTAATGTAAATTGTCGGTTCCTTGATCATTTCTCACCTCAGTGTAATATTCAGGGCTGTGTAGATTTGTCTAAACCAGTAAAATAAGATAACAACATGTTTCTGAATGAGTTGGAGAATACGATTTGTCCTAAGTGCTGCCTTAAACATATTCTGTCTGAAACAAAATACCAGAAAAGTTGTGTGCACTTCTCCCTTACCCTGCATGTTTCTCTTCATGTGCAATCTCTTGCTATGTATCCTCCAATGTACCCCAATACCTGACGTAACGTTCACAACAAGATCAGGACACAAGAGAATGATGATCTAATTGTCTCCGCATTCAAAGTTGAAGGTGTTTTTAGAGAGGCACGAACATTACGTATTTGTTCAGATACATATCAGAAGGATTAAACATTTTATTGTTGTAGCCTAAAGAATTAGTACAGTTGTGATTTCAAAATGGCAAAATGTTTGATGTGTGTATTTCAGGCACCACGTGCTTCAGATGTCTTCGGGAATCGGAGAAATGGGAAGTATCCGGTGGCAGCTGCTCCTGTGTTTACTGGGAGCCTGGCTGGCGGTGTTCCTCAGTCTTATAAAGGGCATCAAGTCCTCGGGCAAGGTATTGTCATTTCAATAAGTGTATACTGTGTCTGATGCGGAACAGTCACGCCACGTCATCGAATTCTAGTGAATCCGAAAGTGTCCCGAGACAAATTCTCATTCCAGAAAAGGGCATCAGATCTTCTTGAAAGGAGGAGAAGATGATACCGATTCTTCAGGGTTGATTTACTCATGTTTTATACGCTATTGCAGGACACGGGATGGGTTGTTGACACCATGTTATCTGTGATAATTTGTGAAAAGGCCTTTTGTTTGCACTAGCATTAACACTGGTAAGTAGCTTACGTCTTTCCAGCAACTCTAACACGTTGTGCGACCCCCATCAGAAGTTATCTCAACACCGCGAAGAACATCTTAAACTAAAAACTTCTTCTTGATACCAGAATGATATTCTTGAGAGTGGTTTAACAGCCTTATTCGGTATTCCCTTTCTACCAACAATTCTTCCTATACCAGATCTAGGGTGTCTCTATGTACATACAACGGCAGGTTTACAGGGCTCAGTATATAGCGCCAATTTAGTTCCGGTGGTGGAGCATCGGGTCTCTCCCCAGGGTCAGATCACTGTAGAGTGTTCTCATTCTAGGATTAACTTACTCCCTTAGGATCTTAGCACTCACCGTTTGCAGGATGAAACCTCTCCCCAGGATGAAAACACTCCATTTATACTTTCTGGTCACTGTGTTGGGGATAAGCTGCGCCCTACCAAAATTAATTACTTATCCAAACCATTAAATTGTTGATACAGACAGTTTAAACACTTCATGATATAACACCAAAAATGATCCTAACTTGAAAGCTTTATTAAATATTTATTTCCGACTCATCCATTGTTTCTAATGTTTGATATATACAAAACATTTTACTGATATAACCGTACAATTCCAGCTACGCACTACTGCTCTTGTATTAAACAATTGGGAGAGAAGCAGAAAAAAACCCCAAAGTGAGAATGTAATGCTGGGATAAATGAAAGTTAATAGAAATTGTATCTGATATATATGCAAGTGATATTTATATATATTACTTAATATATATACTGAACCAAATTAAAAACTTCACAATCCTAAAATTTTAACATATATATATATATATATATATATATATATATATATATATATATATATATATATTCAATTGGACAAAGAAAATCCAATTTGTTATAATGCTTTTTATACAACTAATATTTCTAACTAATGTATCCTTTGCTTTATATCCCTGTGCTGGAAGTATATCAACCCATGTATATCCCTGTAAGAATACTTTGGTAGACGTTTCATTTCTGAATCAGTATATCGATGTAACAATATAAAAAAACACAACATTATTGAAACCGTGTTCAACAAAATCAAAATGTTTTAGCACAAATATATATTTTCAGCTCAGAACAATTTGTCTGTGGGTATCTCTACGAGATGTAACGTATCCTGCAGTTGAATGGTATGATTTGTGAGAGGTGTACTGTACATCTAAAATTTGGTGAAGACATCTCGCATCAAAACAAAATATAAGAAAGGGCTTGTGATGTTTGAAAAGGAAGTGTGTTGTTTTGGTATACGAAGTCACTTTACACCAATATCTCCTACGTAGTTGAGATCATTAGATGGTAACTCTATTTCTCGAACAATAATATATACAGGTATAATTGGGCATTGATTGTCCATGTTCGGAATCGTCTTGTGAGACTCAAAGGTATTTATAGTGGGAGTCTACTTGTCATAACAGTTAACAGATGTGTGCAGTGATGCATAAATTGCATTGCACTAATCGAAAGTAATCATTTGTTATGGTCGGTATTTCATCGTAGAAACTGTTTAAATCAGAAAATGATGGCAGTTAATGTTAATATATATTCATACAAATATAATATATGTAACTAAACCGCCATTGCAAAAAAATGAAATATATTGTATGAAACGAATAATAATAATATTGATTAGGAAAATATAAATATTGCATTTACTGTAAACGATATGATTCCGAAGCGTGAACAGCTGAAGGAACAAGATTAAAAAAAAGTGAGGTTAATGAATTTATTTTTTATATCTTTTTAATTATTACATTTCTCATTATATTTACATTTCAATGTAAAATACATAGAGTGTGCATGAATTAATTGTTTCATTTAGCATAACTATCACAGCGAGATATAGTTTATTCTATATAGGCCAAGGGTCAAATTAAAAAATAGATACAAAAATACATTATGTTTGTAGCATGGACAGATCATATATCATAGTTTACACTGGGTTTCTAAATAATACATGTAAAGAAGACCAGAAGGCATGGAAACTTGCATTATTACAATTTGAATATTTTGTATTTTCATAACAGCTAAGTATTTCTGTTTGAATTTGCAAAAGATTTGTCTTACTTTTTTCTATTAAATGTGTAAAGCATAGATTTTATTGCCATAATTACTGCATTGACTGAATTGTATTTCTTCTCTTTAAATCCAAACAGTAGGTGTTCATTACTAAAATTAGCTGTGCCTTCTGTATAGTTTCCAATCAATCTCATTAAAATCAGATCTCTGTTTTCGCTGCCGCTAAACAAAGATCTGAGGACATCCTATTACGGGTCACGTCAGACCGACCTTTCGCGAACTCTGACCGACCAAGTGCAAGTACGGAGCAAGTGTCCTGCGGCTGTTGAAAATACAAAGGGTGATTTTGTTCGTAGTGTAAGCTTTGTGAAACAACTTTCAAAGTAACGTTTATCGAGATAGCTTTCATGAAACCAGTTGCTATGGAACGTCTTTGAATGCGTAATACATCTCCATCTGATAATATAAGGTTAGGTTTTTCTCCCACATCATGCTGCCATTGCGTGATGTAACTGAAAGAGTGTTCAACACGTATCACATGAACACACTCAGTGTATTTAACGTTATTTCTTACTATTGTTATATTTTTTTCAGGTTGTGTACGTAGCAGCCACCGTTCCGTATCTGATTCTGATAGCTCTGCTTGTGCGTGGATTGTTACTTCCGGGAGCAGTAGAAGGAATAAAATTTTATGCTATACCACAGTGGACTAAACTACTGGATGCGAAGGTCTTGTTTTATAGCAAATTAATTTCATTTCATCTACTCAATGTTTTATATGTGAATCAGTATAGATTTATATTCTATCAGTCTAGCTCTAACTGTAACCGACACCATAAACAACACCTTCTCCAATTCTCACAGCGATTCGCATCCTCAGTTCGATATAAAAGATATTAACTATTGATGACTATTCCCCAGGTATGGCGTAATGCTGCTTCCCAGGTATTTTTTTCTGCGGGTATTGGCTGGGGAGGAATAGCGACCCTGGCTAGCTACAACAAGTTTCACAATAATTGTTACAGGTACGAATTATGTATTGTTATATTGATTATTGCCTATTGATATCACTGACGTAGCTTGTTATTGGGGATCTTTTTGCCTTGTGTGGGCGTGGTCCCGTTTGCGACGTCACAATGACCAAGATAGTGGGGGAATTAGGTTGGTAGAGCTGATTACTCGGCTATCACCTTAAAACAGAGAGAGGTGAGGTGAGGTGAAATGGGGTTGAACGTCGCGTCCAAGACTATTGCACTTACATAGCGATGCGCTTGTACGTGTGTTTGTGTGGCTGCTTGTACTAGTCCGGACTGATGCCGATTTATAGTGCTAGCTCACTGAGATACCATGCCGCAGTTTAACATGAATACCCCACTCAGATACAGTTTACTGACTCCGAGCCGACCAGTCCTTGTTTTAGTCCCTTAGTGCCGAGCGCCAGACAGGGTAACAACAAGTACCATCTTTTAACGTCTTTTGGTGAGACACGATCGGGGATCGAACCCCGGACCTTCCGCTCTCCGGGCGGACGCTCTACCACTAGACCACGGAGGCGATCTAAAACAGAGAGAAGGCTGCTGAGTCCCTTTACGTCTTTATTCGTGGCAGAGTGAAATTTCATATATAGAGAGAGATATTTAAACAATATTACATTACAAGTCAATGCAGTCGTTGACTTGTTACATTAAATATATAACTGACAACCATACATGAATTGATAGCGACTGGTTTGAACTTTCTTAACAAGATTGTTCTAATAAATAAGGTACAAAAAACGAATTGTGAATAACAATGAACTGGGAAGTATTTTATGCTAAGACATTTCATACAGGAACTGTTAACATTTACATTTACGGCATTCTAGCGTTACTGTTGTATTTTACATACAAATGTATTTAACATACTGTATAATTTCAATGCCGTAAGGAAACACTAAATCTCTGTCTCAAAGAGTATCGACCGCCTCCGTGGTCTTGTGGTAGAGCGTCCGCCCGGAGAGCGGAAGGTCCAGGGTTCGATCCCGGGCCGCGTCATACAAAAAGACGTTAAAAGATTGTACTTGTTGTTACCCTGTCTGGCGCTGGGCATTAAGGGGCTAAAACAAGGACTGGTCGGCTCGGAGTCAGTATACTGTGTCTGAGTGGGGTATTCATGTTAAACTGCGGCATGGTATCTCAGTGAGCTAGCACTATAAATCGGCATCAGTCCGGACTAGTACAAGCAGCCACACACACACATACACGTGCATGCACGTCGCTATATAAGTGCGATAATCTTGGACGCGACGTTAAACACAATTTCACCTCACCCCCACCTCAAAGAGTATCCATAATCCTTAATAAATAAAAGAAGTACATTTTTTATATACACAGAAAGTATTCGAGACCAGTGGAATTAATGCCATGTGCATTCTCAAACACTGAAAGGATTTGCTCGATTTTTTGCAAAGCAGACACAATTTTTGCAATCACGGAAAAGTAGGAAGTTCATTTATGTCAAAACAAAACTCTGCCACACGACAAACTTAAGGAAATATTTAATTTCTAGATTTTGTCGGAAACTCGAGACTGGTTATTCTCTCGCTTTGACATTTCATATTTCCGTAACATGGTGACCCTACATTGTAGCTATAGTAACACCTCGATCTTCAGAGTTTCAGGATATTTTGTAAAAAATAGAACTTTGATCAGAAAAAATATTTTTTTACGTGAAATGCCGGACTTCCTCATTGTTAACATCTATATGAAATATGGAGAAAAAAATGGGCAAGAAGTAGGGATCCCCGTGGGCACCAACTATAGTCCCCATCTTGCTGATTTGTTTCTTTATGAATATGAATCTGATTTTGTTCTCGGATTGGCAATAGCAAACGAAGGGAATTTAGCCAAAAAGTTAAGCTTCAGGTATAGCCATGATATGATATCATTTAATAAGGATCTAATTCCCTTCCACTGCTTTACTCACCTGAACTAGCAATAAAAGGGATTGGTGGAACCGACTTAATTATAGATACTGAACAACGAAAGTTCCTGTGTCATTGAATAAGATTTAATGCAAAATTATGTTTTTTACCAAATCTGAAACAATTTCGGTTTGCAACAGATAAAAGATAAGTGTTCAAATGATTTAATTTGCCATACTGACTTCGGAAAATGCGTGATTTCATGAGAAACATGAACATACCATAATGTCAATTTACAAATCAATAGCGTGTGTGTACACCTCTGGTTGCGATGCAAGCAATACACCTTCGACTCATGGAATGGACCAGGCGTCGCGCAAAGTCCTGTGGGATATCTGTCCATATCCGCTGGAGAATGTTTCGAAGTTCCTGGAGTGTCTGTGGAACACGAGGTTGACGTCGAAGGCGCCGATCTATCTCATCCCACATGTGCTCGATTGGTGAGAGATCAGGGGAGCGAGCCGGCCAGGGGATGACATTCACGTTGTTGTGTTGAAGAGAATCCTGAACAAGTCGAGCGTTGTCATGTTGAAAGGTAATGCCTGGGCCATGACGGAGCAAAAACGGTAGAACAAATGGGCCGATGATCTCGTCGCTATTTCCCTCTACCACTATCAAACTGGTCCTCTGTCTTGCTGTAATCCCAGCCCATACCATGACGCTGCCGCCCCCGAACCGATCCTCTTTCCTGACACAATGATTGACGTAATGTTCACCTTGACGTCGGTACACTCGAATCCGTCCGTCGCTGTGGCTGAGGTGAAACGAGACTCGCCAGTGAATAGAACTTGTCCCCACTGCATGGCCGTCCAGCGTAGACGCTGTCTGCGCCACTGTAGACGTGCTTGACGGTGGTTTCCTGTCCAAATGGGACGTCTGGCGGGTCTTCTGGCGACAATCCCTTCACATCTGAGGCGACGTCGTACGGTTTGTGAAGATATTCGTCGAAGGCCAGTGATGCTTCTTGTAGTCACTGTTACTGGCTTGAATCGATTTCGTAGGTATGTTGTTCGAATTCAATTGTCTTGTCGATTATTGGTTTCGCGTGGCCTGCCACTCCGAGGATGGATGCATTCGTCTGTTGCCAACGTTTCCATATACACCAAATGGTGTTTCTGTGGACGTTAAATTGCTTGCAACATCACGTTGACTCGATCCTGCTTCACGCATACCAATGGCTCGCAGAGGCTCATTTTCGGAAAGGCGTGGCATTTCGTAATAATAATTGTGTAATTGTGTTGTTTTACTGAGTGGTTGTTGTCAGCACGATGCTAAACAATGCATATGGAATCCCGTTAACGCACATGTTTTTATACCCATTCTTGGGTAGTGAAATGCATGGGGCTTGCATAAAAGTCTGTAGCAGTTGCGTTGTTGTGACTTGATTCCATACATGTACTACAATATTGAAAACCAAACTTTACTTGTTTGAAAAATACATTAAAATATTGGTGTCACAGGAACTGTTGTGGTTGAGTATATCTAACTATGTCATGAAGAAAATACGAATTACACAACTCACTAGCCTTGCATTCTATGGTGAATAGGGAAGGGGAGAGTGCAAGTTACAGAAAAACGAAAATTTTTAAACGATTGTACTTTGTAGATTCACATTATTGAGATGCCAATTTAATTGAACAATTTGCTTCTGTCCCAGAGATGCTCTGGTGCTCCCTGTGTTGGACTGTCTCACCAGCTGGTTTGCAGGCTTCATCATCTTTGTGTTTCTGGGCTTCATGGCCAACCAATCCAACCTGCCCATCTCGGAGGTCGTCAAAGAAGGTGGGTGGGATATTTCTAATGCTGAAGTTATCATGACGAGGGCAATGTTCTCAACGACATACATTCCCAGCGGAGAAACTAATTGTACTTAGAGATTAGACAAATGTTTAAATATTAGCTCCACCAGAATGTTCTTGTTGACCATTGCAGAGTGCGTTCCATGTCCTTCTATATGTAGAGAACAGCTGAAGGCTATGATCTACTTATTATTCCGTTGACACGAACTGTTCACTATATACTAGTAGATGAGCATGCTATTCGTGAAGCTCGTGAGTGAGTGAGTTGGGTTTTACGCCGCTTTTAACAGTATTCCAGTTATATCACGGCGTGTCACCCTAATGTGGGAGGAAAGCCCGAAGTGATGCAGGTCTCTGACGTTTACCACTTCGGTGAAACCCAAGAGCACGGGTATGGTGCTGACAAACCTAGAAACATAATCGGGGCGAACCGGGATTCGAACCCACAATCATAGGTTTCTGGCGTGCCCAAGGGACGCAACTCTGCACCGCGAATCGCGGCGCCTTAGACGACTGGGCTACCCGTGCCCCCCTGAAACTCGTGTATTTGGCTGGATGTGTTTTCTAAAACAGATCAAAGCCGTTTGACAGTACAGTAATGTGGAACAGTTGCGAGAGTAGGGCCTGGTTTCATGTCGCTGTTTGTTCTTGCCTTGTCCTGATATAGTCCTCCTCTTTTTGGTTCTCATGCATTTCGTATTTTCCAGGACCTGGTCTTGCGTTCATGGCGTATCCCGATGCTGTAACGACAATGCCGTTGCCCCAGTTGTGGGCCTGTCTCTTCTTCCTGATGCTGTTTACAGTAGGACTTGACAGCCAGGTATACATTGTATGACTTGTATGTCTTTTGCGACGTCGGACATTCTTACAGTGATTAAGTTATGGCCCATCTAGTTTTAGCTCTCCTGCCAAGTGAGCTTATTTCTAGACTTGTTTGTCTGTCGTCCGTCACTCGTTGTCAGTCATAAACATTTTCTCTTCAGAAACCACGTGACCAAAGCTCAACCTGTCGGTGGTCATATTAAAACCCCTATTTATGGCCATAACTCAGTCATTTTGTTTCAAAATGGAATGAAATTTGGTACATGTGTAGTTTTGAACCAAACTGAAAGCTGAAACTTTTAATGGCCGTTTATGTTCAAAATGTAAATAATTCTGGTATGTGTGTAGTAAATAGTGAAACTCTACATGTATAACTCAATTTCCTCGATATCTTAATTTTGACCTAGGTTTGACCAAGCATATCGACCAAAAGTGTATAAGCTCTTTCAACTTCCTCGTTTCTATAATGGCAGACCGAGAAACTCAAATTATGATGAAAACATATTTTGGTTGAAATTATTTAAGTATCAGTTTTTAGTCCTCATCAGTAATTATGCAGAAAATGAATGTTTGAATATCAATGCTGACACCAATTTATTACAAGTATGTGTCTACCTGACATTTTAAATTGTTGTCTACATATGCAGGTGACCTTCAGTGCCCATGACATTACTATTCATTTTTATAGAACTATTTATTTTTATAGATTTGTTAAACAGAAGTAGAGGATTTTTCCACATAAAATTACTTAAATAGATTGTTTTACCATGTAAATCATATCTTGAAATTATCGTTTATGAACAATAACGTGTGATTAATATATCAATGTTACATAAATCAATTACTCAATATAATACTTGTAAACAAACAATATATCCTAAAAGTTGGACATGTGTAAATCATAAATCACTTTATTATTAAGTGAATAAACTGTTATAAATAACCAGCAAACAAATATGTGATCTTAAGATATTTGGAGCGCATTAAAGTCTACACTTCGTCATACTATTATATTCGAGCCGTATTGTATTGGTGTTTTACAGTAGTTAAAAAACATATAAATGGTAATTTATGATTCATGATGATGCATCCGTGTGTGAAAACAATCCAGTGAGCATATCTTTGTAAAATAACTCGGTGAATAAATCCATATAAAATTACCCTGTCCTTTAGACTTCTGTGAAAAAGATTTTAAAACTCATACACGTCACTATCCATTGCATACATTGGGCAAGCTGTATTGCCCATTTGGGCAAACGGCCCGTCAAATGCACGCAATGGGCAATTGCACATGTGGGTGTAACATATATATTTTTCGTGTAAGTCAACTTCAAAGTAGCACCAAGGGATTTAAACCCCATCTACTCGCTCACTATCAACACACTTTGCCGAGCAGCACGAATAAACAGAGTATCTTTAAACACAATGCGTCAATACATATACATACATTCCCTGTCAGTTCGTCCACGTCCAGACGATCGTCAGCGCCATCACAGATGCCTTCCCAAGATCCCTCGGGCGCCGGAAGCTCCTGGTCACAGCTGGCGTGTGTTTGACTGGGTTTATTCTAGGGCTGTCGTGCGTTACTCAAGTAAGTACAGAGATATACTTCTATATTTGTCAGACAATCGCATCGTGTGTTCCCATGTACATGTGCTTCCTCACCATGAGGGGGCACGGATGGCCCAGTCGTCTAAGGCTTCGCGATTCGCGGTGCAGAGTTGCGTCCCTTGGGCACGCCAGAAACCTATATGATTGTGGGTTCGAATCCCGGTTCGCCCCAAATATGTTTCTAGGTTTGTCAGCACCATACCCGTGCTCGTGGGTTTCACCGAAGTGGTAAACGTCTGAGACCTGCATCACTTCGGGCTTTCCTTCCACATTAAGCTGACACGCCGCGATATAACTGGAATACTGTTAAAAGCGGCGTAAAACCCAACTCACTCACTCACTCCTCACCATGAAGAGTTGCCTCACTTAATCGGGCACATTCATCCTTGACATAATACTGTTCAATACGGGTTAAACACGGCACACTCACTCCATCATAAATTATATCTTTGTGGTTCTATATTACTCCAGTGGTTTCAAGGGAATAACGAGATTGTTCTGTCGAACTAAAGACGTCAATTCTTTTGCGTTATGTCATGTATACCAATCTAAGACCTTCACTCCTTAAGGACCCGTGAAGATTCCGGGGTAGAATAGGTCCCCAGCAACCCATACTTGCCGTCAAAGGCGACTATGCTTGTCGTAAAAGGCGACTAACGGGATCGGGTGGTCAGGCTCGCTGACTTGGTTGATGCATGTCATCGTATCCCAATTGCGTGGATTGAGGCTCATGATAATAATCACTGGATTGTCTGGTCCAGACTCGATTATTTAGCAGACCGCCGTCATATAGCTGGAATATTGCTGAGTGCGGCGTTAAACGACAAACCAACAAACCAACCAACCAATACTCCTTAAGAGCATATGCATGTTTTTCATGGTTCAGACTATTGAGAAAGATGGGTAGGCCAATAGTCTTTGGTTGCTTCCCTTATGTATGCCAGAACAATAAGTGGTTCGAATCCTATTATTATGGCACATTTGTCAGCACCATTTCCGTGCTGGTAAACGGTAAAGTGAGTGAGTGAGTGAGTTGGGTTTAACGCCGCTTTTAACAGTATTCCAGTTATATCGCGGCGTGTCGGCTTAATGTGGGGAGAAAGCCCGAAGTGATGCAGGTCTCAGACGTTTACTACTTCGGTGAAACCCACGAGCACGGGCATGGTGCTGATAAACCTAGAAACATAATCGGGGCGAACAGGGATTTGATTCAATAATCATAGGTTTCTGGCGTGCCTAAGGGACGCAACTCTGCACAGCTTATCGCGGCGACTAAGACGGCTGGGCCACCCAGCATAGTCCCTCATTACTTGAGTCAAATACAAATTACATTCACATGAGGTCTCTTACCTCGCTTGCTATGTTATCCTTACAGGGAGGTATCTACGTGCTGACGCTACTGGACTGGTACATCGGGAGCATATCAGTGATGGTGTTGGCGATGTCGGAAATGTTGGTTCTAGCGTGGATATATGGTACGTCAGTCTGCCAGGGCTAAATTAGTCATCACTATTCTCGTGGGTTTCATCAAAGTGGTAAACGTCTCGGACCTGCGTTACTTCGGGTTTTCCTCCCACTGAAATACAATTCAAAGCGGCGTCAAACCAATGTAATTTACTCATTCTACCATTACAAACTACACATATATAGAGAATACTACACTCATTCTCGTTAGATACCATTTTTACGAAACGAGTGGACTTTCTATGGTATCTGACCGAGCGAAAGCGAGGTCAGATACCATAGAAAGTTCACGAGTTTCGTAAAAATGGTATCTAACGAGAATGAGTGTGGTATTTTATTTATTACCCACGTTAAATATATAATTAAGTGTAAATACATAACAACTTTCGTTCGTTGACAGACCAAACTGAAACCGGTTGCAAAATCTGGTTGCGCATGAATATTGATATATGACCAAATATGGGCATTGTTGACATGTTTATGCATACGCATTAACAACATGCGCCTGCTGTTCTGTTTGCAAACAAACCAGCACCGACGCTCAAGATCCTTTTGGAAGAAAGTCTTCAACTTATGGTAATTCAAGCGTCATGATGTTAGTACGCAGGACACCGATAAGAAAATTTGAAATGTCACATTAGCGCCGCGCTTTGAATATCGGACCAACAGTCACACGCATCGCACTGCCGGGGTCCCGTCTGTGCAATCAAAATGGTTCGGTTTCCTTGATCTATCAGCTGAATTTATATCATGTCCGTACCATTTTGGAAGAGGGAAATCAGACTGTTCGCCAAAGACATTTATGTTAACTGTACCACCCTATATACTGAAGACGTGAAAATCAACAAACTCAAATCTGCTTGCATGTCAGTGACAGCTTCGAACGATCGAAGGGCAAGGTCGCCACCAGAATAAGAAAAGACAACCGCGATCCACTCACAGCGTTTTACGCTAGAGATTGGGAATGTTACTGTTCACATTTGGGATGTTTGGGGCCACAAAATCAGAAGTCAAGCACACTTCCACGGAGTTTTCGAATGATTTGTATCGGAACTGTGAACTTTAAGTGATCTGGTCGTGCTGTCGTGTTCGTTCATTCATGAACAACACCTCCCGAAACAGCGCCACAAAATACGCTTCAAGGGGGACACCGATGGCACAACCGGATCATCCCAAGTAAGTCTAGATATCTGTCCAGATAGTTTAAACAGACTTCATTTCACCACGCCTATCCTTTTACGTTAAATCAAATAGAAAGTTGCGAAAATGGTCGGTTGCGTCACGCTCAAGGGACGCGCTCGATCGGCAGTCGTACATTGTAAAATGATTTATAGATCTAGGTCGATTATATGTCTGTAGAACCTCTATGCATAACTTATATAGAATGCAAACCGAATTTGATGCGTGTGACTATCTTGTTTGGTTTAATAAAGTGTTTGTAAATATCTCTTGTTCTCATGAATTTCTTCAGTTCTGCCTTGTAATCGCAAAATGAATGACGTCTCGCGATTTTTTATGAATGAAAAAAGTAGTCCCGGTGTGACAGAGGTCACGGTTATCCAATCAAAACGAATAAAACAAGGTCAACCTTGTACGACACACGTGTGACGTACGGATTTAGTATCTTACCACCTGTATCTTCACCACGTGGGTAATAAACAACTATATGACCTGTGGTTATACCATGTATTCATGTGAAATAAGAAGTATCAATCAGTCGAGTGACAATGTAATGTTCTAATACACTAATACACAACCTTTCAGTAAGAGCTCAGATCACTTTAAATATAGTACACAACGTGTGATATATGAATATGATGATTGCTGCCCTTGTATCTCAAAAGACAGACAACGATGTTTACTCTACTGAAATACTTTGTCTTAAGTCCCTTTACGTATTCAAGCGCAGACATGCCCCATGTCTATGATACTATTAACCTGAATGTTTCCTTTCCTTGTATACACGTCACGTTTACCGTTTGATTCATGATTTACGCCTCACGCGGCAAAATTCGAGTTATATGACGGTGGTCTGGGAATAATCGGGTCATGCCAAACAAACCAGTGAAGGGCAGGGTAGGATGATGTGCCATCAACTGTGTCACCATGACCCAAACCGTCTTCTTCTATGCAGGTGTAAATCGCCTGTATGATGATCTGACGATGATGATTGGCTTCCGAGTGTCTCCTGTATGGAAGCCGATGTGGCTCGTCGTCACTCCTCTGTTCGTCTTCGTGAGTACTCTTGACGGCTGACCACCTATGGGGCTGCTTAATGTGTTTGCCCAAATTTGAACTCTGGTCTGCTATTGGTTGCTTCAACCACGCGTTTAATGACAGATGTTATAGACTTCAGATACTGTAATTATCCCTATGGAATATGAAAGACAGGATCCCAATTGCATCTCTGTTACTGCATAGCTTCTGTATAAGGCTCAGATCAGTGGAGGTCATATTTAGAAAGAATGTTCAAATTTCGGATTATGCCATGAAAAATCTGATTCATTTCCAATCACTTATGTCAGACTCTTAATAACCAACTCAATACTTGTATCTGGCATGTGTCATGATTGTGTCAAATGTCAAAGTCAGTTTCGAGGTTATTCACTCATGAAATGATTTGTAGATACTTGCATTCAGAAAGTACTGCTGTTCCTCTATTAAACATCTTGAACACCATTGGTTGACCCCACCATGTGTCTATTCAATGCAGACAATGGAAAACCCATTCATTAGGGTTTTGTCAAATTACATGACAGTGATCTGGCGCCACCATTTTTGAGCAAACGCAAGTGATACGAGAGGTGGAATCTGATTGGTCCATAGGAGAGGCTTATACGGGACATAATTGGTAATAGCCACTGGTGGCGCAACGATCGAGCCCAGTAATTCCAGCCTCGTTCGGCAAGGGTAGAAACTGGACTTTTAAAGTCAGTTAACTCCCTTGCCTCGGGAAGATGGCTGGAAAACAACATGGAGTCACCAAGTGGAAATCCCCTGTTGCCTATCATTCTGAAGACAAATTGTTATACAGGAGCAAACTTCTCTTGGCGGGGTCGTTATGCCAAAAGAGGGTCCCGTCTTGGTTTTCACATAATTATCTTGCCAAGTGAATCATTTGTATACTGTCAGCATGGTATGATGAGTTCATATTTGTAACAAGGTTGCAACAAGTAAGGTTATCGCATGTGACTGAATGACGTTAAAGGTCAAGGTCAACGTGTGAAGTAGACGTCCCATAAAGCGAATATATACACCTTAAACTTGATAAAACGTCATGGTATTGACTGTCAAGGTAATTAAACCGGTAGTGTGTCTGTTATTAATTTAGCTACGGGCCTGGGAAATTATGTTTCCAAGTTGTACTGCTTTGGGCATTTGTGTTACCAAACCGGAAGTGATGGTTAACAATCCGGAGTGCTTCCAACTTTGATTAATAAGGTAGACAGAGGCATGGAACTTCTGTTTCCAAGTCGGGCATGTGTTTCGCTGAACAAGAAGGGATGCCATTAAAACGGAAGTACTTCTAACGTTGTTTGTAAGATATCTGGAAATGATTTTCTGTTTCGAAGTCGTAGTGTCCAGGGCATGTTTTCCCAAACCGGAAGTAGTGTTATTAAACTTGAATTTTGTAATCTGTGTAATCCAGATCTTATTGAAGATAAATATTACTTCTTGTTAATATGCCATACATATGAAAACTTAAGAAGTATATACTTAAAAATACTTATGTAGATCCAAGTGTCCGTAAATTTGTCACTCTGGTGTCTTTTGTTAACATTGATGCTATACGAAATTTGTCCATGTCAATTACTTTATGTTGTACAAATGCGGTATATCATGGGCCTGTGGCCTCAGTTTGGTATGAATATATTATCTATATATCTATAACTGGAAGTTCTTATAACTTTCATAATGAGGTAGCTAGAGGCTTGTGTTGCATTGCGCATCTGTTAGTTCAAACGTCACCTGGTGTGGTTCAGTTCAAATGGTTCATGATAGATGTTTCTGGTGGGAAGGAAAGTTGCTTCTACTGTTGCATGTAATGGAAACTTTCCAGTTGGTTGTTGGGTTTTTCCATGAACAGATATATAGCAAATGAAGCTGAGTATCTTTTAGACAAAATAATTGCATCGTACTTTCGTACTTTCTAGTCTGCTGGTCTCCCTGATTGAAGTAAAGAAATAAACCATATCATTGTTTCGTACTCAGATGCTGCTTATTGCGGGACTTACCAACATGTCCCCAGTAGCGCTTGGTGGGAAGAGTTACCCTTATTGGGCACAGGCGATTGGTTGGTTTATAGCCACGTGTCCTCTACTGCCAATCCCGGTGGGCATGGTGCTTGCCATTTGGAAGGAGAAAGATGGCTCGTTGAAAGAGGTCAGTACGAAAAGCTAAATTCTTGCCTTGAAATTAAAAAAATGTAATCGTTTCACTGACATGCGACATAAAGGTAATTCAGATCATGTAAAAAAGCGCCAAAGTTTTCATACTGGTTAAAGGTAGTCCTGATAGTATACGTTGTAAGTCAGCTCAGGGAGACACAAATTTATATTCGTGATTGCTGGAATATGTTTGGAACAATAACCTATCAACAAGAAAACATCAACTTAATATTTGTCCGCCCGATGTCCTGAAAAATATGTGTGTTAAAAATATGGCTACTCCTTCCGCTAAAGTAAATGTATTATATAGCAGTAAACAGTCTCAAACAACTCCTACTTCCTGAATCTAAAATGGCAAATATATTTACAGGTTATCTTTATATGAAACAAATACATTGCGCTTTGTTTTTTAATCGTGTGTGCCATTATGGTGATAACATTACCGAGTATGTTTGCAGAGGCTGATCCAAGCATCAAAACCCAGGAAGGAATGGCGGCCAGCACTCGATGTCGATACTGGACATGGGAAGAACGAGATGGACATGAAGACAAGAGAAATGCTCCTCAGTGATGACCATAGTTACGCGAAGTGAAGGGGACTATTCAGACAACTGTAGAATTATCAGATGAACTTGTTTCAAGCTGATTCGTTCGATCGTTACAATTTTTTGAAGGTTTGCATTGTTTACGAAGAGGCCATATCAACGCGCCGTCATGCAAACACATGCAACTGTATCAATTAAGTGAAGATGACGTCACAAACAATTTTTATGACGTCATTCCTACAATAGTGTAAAGGAGCTAATGTCTCAACTTAATGTTGTGGTAGATATCGGTGGGTGGTAGACATCAGTGAGTGGTTGACATCAGTAGGTGGTAGATATCAGTGGGTGGTAGACATCAGTGGGTGGTAGACATCAGTGAGTGGTAGACATCAGTGGGTGGTAGACATCGGTGGGTGGTAGATATCAGTCTATGGTAGACATCAGTGAGTTGTAAATATCAGTTAGTGGTAGACATCGGTGGGTGGTAGACACCAGTGAATTGTAGACGTGAGTGGTAGAGATCAGGAAGTAGTAGACATCAGTGTATGACATTAATGATTTGTATACTTCGTTGGGTTGTAGACATCAGTAAGTTGTAGACATCGGTGGGTTGTAGACATCAGTGATTTGAAGACATCGGTGGGTTGTAGATATCAGTAAGTTGTAGACAGCGGTGGGTTGTAGACATCAGTGATTTGTAGACATCGGTGGGTTGTAGACATCGGTGGGTTGTAGACATCAGTGATTTGTAGACATTAGTGATTTGTAGACATCGGTGGGTTGTAGACATCAGTGAGATGTAGACATCGGTGGGTTGTAGGCATCGGTGGGTTGTAGACATAGGTGAGTTGTAGATATGAGTCAGTGGTAGACATCGATGGGTGGAAGACATTAGTGTTTGGTAGACACTGGGTTGTAGACATAAGTTTTTGGTAAACATTGATGGGTTGTAAACATCAGTGTTTGGTAGACAGTGGGTTGTAGACAACAGTGTTTGCTAGACAGTTGGTTGTAGACAGTTGGTTGTAAACATCAGTTGGTGGTAGACCTTGGGTGGGTGGTAGACATTAGTGTTTGGTAGACAGTGGGTTGTAGACATAAGTGTTTGGTAGACAGTTGGTTGTAGACATCAGGGTTTTGTACACAGTTTGATGTAGACATCAGTTGGTGGTAGACCTTGGGTGGTCGGTAGACATCGGTGTATAGTAGACAGTAGGTTGTAGATATCAGTGTATGGTAGACATTAGTGGGTTGTAGATATCAGTCTGTGGTAGACATCAGTGAGGTGTAAATATCAGTGAGTGGTAGACATCGGTGGGTGGTAGACATCGGTGAGTGGTAGACATCAGTGAGTGGTAGACATCAGTGAGTGGTAGACATCAGTGAGTGGTAGACATCGGTGAGTGGTAGACATCAGTGAGTGGTAGACAACAGTGAGTGGTAGACATCGGTGAGTGGTAGACATCGGTGGGTGGTAGACATCAGTGAGTGGTAGACATTAGTGAGTGGTAGACATCAGTGAGTGGTAGACATCAGTGAGTGGTAGACATCGGTGAGTGGTAGACATCAGTGAGTGGTAGATATCGGTTGGTGCTGGACATCACTGTCGGTGAGTGCTAGACCTCAGAGAGTGGTAGATATCGGTGTATTGTAGACAGCAGTGGATGGTAGACATCGGTGAGTGGTAGACATCAGTGAGTTTTAGATACCATTGGGTGCTAGACATCGGTGAGTGCTAGACATCATTGGGTGCTAGACATCATTGGAGGCAAGACATCGGTGAGTGCTAGACATCATTGGGTGCTAGACATCATTGGAGGCTAGACATCGGTGAGTGCCAGACATCATTGGGTGCTAGACACCATTGGGTGCTAGACATCGGTGAGTGCTTGACATCATTGTATGGGAGACATCAATGAGTTGTAAATATCAGTTTGTGGTAGACATCAGTGGGTGGTAGAGATCAGGTAGTAGTAGACATCAGTGTATGGTAGACATCGGTGTATGGTAGACATCAGTGTATGGTAGACATCAGTGAGTTGTAAATATCAGTTAGTGGTAGACATCGGTGGGTGGTAGACACCAGTGAATTGTAGACATGAGTGAGTGGTAGAGATCAGGAAGTAGTAGACATCAGTGTATGACATTAATGATTTGTAGACTTCGTTGGGTTGTAGACATCAGTAAGTTGTAGACATCGGTGGGTTGTAGACATCAGTGATTTGAAGACATCGGTGGGTTGTAGATATCAGTAAGTTGTAGACAGCGGTGGGTTGTAGACATCAGTGATTTGTAGACATCGGTGGGTTGTAGACATCAGTGATTTGTAGACATTAGTGATTTGTAGACATCGGTGGGTTGTAGACATCAGTGAGATGTAGACATCGGTGGGTTGTAGACATCGGTGGGTTGTAGACATAGGTGAGTTGTAGATATGAGTCAGTGGTAGACATCGATGGGTGGTAGACATTAGTGTTTGGTAGACACTGGGTTGTAGACATAAGTTTTTGCTAGACAGTTGGTTGTAGACAGTTGGTTGTAAACATCAGTTGGTGGTAGACCTTGGGTGGGTGGTAGACATTAGTGTTTGGTAGACAGTGGGTTGTAGACATTAGTGTTTGGTAGACAGTTGGTTGTAGACATCAGGGTTTTGTACACAGTTTGATGTAGACATCAGTTGGTGGTAGACCTTGGGTGGTCGGTAGACATCGGTGTATAGTAGACTGTAGGTTGTAGATATCAGTGTATGGTAGACATTAGTGGGTTGTAGATATCAGTCTGTGGTAGACATCAGTGAGGTGTAAATATCAGTGAGTGGTAGACATCGGTGGGTGGTAGACATCGGTGAGTGGTAGACATCGGTGAGTGGTAGACATCAGTGAGTGGTAGACATCGGTGAGTGGTAGACATCGGTGGGTAGTAGACATCAGTGAGTGGTAGACATTAGTGAGTGGTAGACATCAGTGAGTGGTAGACATCAGTGAGTGGTAGACATCGGTGAGTGGTAGACATCAGTGAGTGGTAGATATCGGTTGGTGCTGGACATCACTGTCGGTGAGTGCTAGACCTCAGAGAGTGGTAGATATCGGTGTATTGTAGACAGCAGTGGATGGTAGACATCGGTGAGTGGTAGACATCAGTGAGTTTTAGATACCATTGGGTGCTAGACATCGGTGAGTGCTAGACATCATTGGGTGCTAGACATCATTGGAGGCAAGACATCGGTGAGTGCTAGACATCATTGGGTGCTAGACATCATTGGAGGCTAGACATCGGTGAGTGCCAGACATCATTGGGTGCTAGACACCATTGGGTGCCAGACATCGGTGAGTGCTTGACATCATTGCGTGCTTGACATCATTGGAGGCTAGATATCGGTGGGTGTTAGACACCATTGGCTGCTAGACATCGGTGGGTGCTAGACATCATCGGGTGCTAGACATCAGTGACTCGGAGACATCGGTGGGTGCTAGACATCATTGGGTGCTAGACATCAGTGACTTGGAGATATCGGTGGGTGTTAGACATCATTGGGTGCTAGACATCAGAGGGCGCTTGACATCGGTGAGCATCTTGTTAATTTCTTCCCAGTGAATAATATTCGATCATTCGACAAGATGGTGGATGCTACTTGACAGTAATGGAAGAACGATGTTACCAAGGATAAATGTAATCACGGGGATGTAATTTGAACAGTAATGACGTCAGCCCATTATGACGTATAGTCGGCGCCTTTGATCTTTCAGCGAATTGTCTTTTTTAAAGCCCTGTTTATATTAATTAATTTACACCCTGGGCCAAATAACGCATTTACCCACGGGGGCAAATGTGTTTACCCAACAGATGTATGTACCTTAGCGGGTATTCTATGCTTATAACGCATTTCGAAATGCACTTCTCTGTAACACCCCTATTTATCTTAAAATATGAATACCTCGCTTTGGGTAATTCGTTCATGGTAACATAGTTTATTTCAGATTAAATTTTTCAATCTAATTGTTCACGTGTTATCTGTGTTCTCCTTTAATTGCGGTCCCTGCAAAAGTGATTAGTTTGTTGTTTAACGCCGCACTCAGCAATATTCCAGCTATATGACGGCGATCTGTAAATAATCTGAACCAGACAATCCAGTGATTGACATCATGAGCATCGACCCATCCAATTTGAATGAGTGAGAGTGTATGGTTTGACGCCCCTTTCAACAATATTCCAGCAATATCACCGCAGGGGACACCAGAAATGGGCTTCACACATTGTATCCATGTCGGGGTCCTCGCCGAGACGGGCGAAAGCTTTAACCACGGGGCTAATCATGAACGTGACGCACCCGACAACTTTCCCAACTATCAATTTGATTTAACGCAAAAGGATAAGCGTGGTAAAATGAAGTCAGTTTAAACTATCTGGTCAGATGTCCAGACTTACCCTGGAATGATCCGGTCGTGCCATCAGTTTCCGGCCCTTCGAAGCGTACCTTGTGGCACTGTTCAGGGAGTTATTTGTACACGACTGCACGGCCAGATCACTCTAAGTACCTTTTCCGATACAAATCATTCGAAAACTCCGTAGAAGTGTGGCTGATTTCCGATTTTGTCTCCTAAAACATCCCAAATGTGAATAATAACATTCCCTATCTCTAGCGTGAAACGCTGTGAGAAGATCACAGTTGCTTTTTCTTATTCCGGTGGAGACCTTGCCCTTCGTTCGAAGCTGTCACTGACATGCAAGCATTCTTGAGTTTGTTGATTTTCACGTCTTCAGTATAGTGTCGTACAGTTATATATAATTAATATGAATGTCTTTGGCGAACACTCTGATTTCCCTCTTCCAAAATGGTACGGACATGATATAACCTTAGCTGATAGATCAAGGAAACCGAACCAGTTTGATTGCACAGACGGGACACCGGCAGTGCGAGTGACAGTGCGAGTGTTGGTTCGATATTCAAAACCCGGCGCTAATGTGACTTTTCAAATGTTCTTATAGGTGTCCTGCGTACTAACTACATGGCGCTTGAATTACCATAATTTAAAGAAGTTCCAAAAGGATCTTGAGCGTCGGTGCTGTTTTGTTTGCAGACACAACTGCAGGCCCATGTTGTTAATGCGTATGCATAGAAATGTCAACAATGCCCATATTGGGGCATATGTCAATATTCATGCGCAACCAGATTTTGCAACCTGTTTCAGTTTGGTCTGTCAACGAACGAAAGATGTTATGTGTTTACACTTTAATATATATTTAACGTGGGTCATAAATAAAATACCACACCCATTCTCGTCAGATACCATTTTTACGAAATGCGTGAACTTTCTATAGTATTTGACCTCGCTTTTGCTCGGTCAGATACAATAGAAAGTCCACTCGTTTCGTAAAAATGGTATCTAACGAGAATGAGTGTAGTATTCTCTATTTCATACACGCCTGTGGGTGAGAAACCCCTTTGAGATAACTAGTATCAAACATATGTGTGAGATCGAATTCCAGGCCCGTGATTGGCTACTCAATGGTGATGACCTGAGGTCAGATGATGACGGACTACTTTCCATAAGTTGCTCGTGCTTCAGGCGAATGTTCACCTACGTCTGTATTGAACCACATGACCGTGTGATTAATAATAATAATAATAATAATAATAATAATAATAATAATAATAAACAAAGTCGTCCTCGTCTGCGAGTTTTGTTGTTATTATTATCAGTTACATTATCTGTTGTTAACGTTTTCGTTATTTCAGAGCGTAAACCCCCTGGATGCCACGGCGACACATATGTCCCTGCTCTTCAACCCTCACATCGAAGTCGAATACAATTTGAAATACATCACGTAAACTTATACGCTTCACAGTTTTGAATTCCCCCTTCTGTTTATCATTTACTGTCATTTTAGGCAAAGCAAAATTACTGAAAGTGACTTCTGAAAATTAGGTACATCGTAAATCCGCCAAATCACAATTCACGGTGTGTTTTAGATCAACTGTGTGTTTAGAAATCTAAATATCGGATCTTTACTCGAATAATTACAGTAGAAAAATAACATATCAGTGATTACGGGTATCAAATCACTAATGATAATTCTGAAATGTCGCTGATAAGCCTAGAATCGTTTAGAATATTTTGGAAAATACGCATACACGAACGCCGAAGAGTACGTTAATCCGCCATATTGGATTGTGTTTACAAAATGCCGGTTATGAGACGATCAGGCATATTTCAAACCCAGCTGCTATACATGCATCCCTGAATCCGTATACATTTTACAAACAAATGACAAATGGTCTTTGTCAATAACGCAAATTATCAAGATGAAATCATGTGAAATAAATTTGGTGTTGAAACGAACACTGTGCTCGGAAAACTGTACTTGTTGAAATGTAAACAAAGCCAATTTCAGATTTTACGCTGTGCAGCATTTTTAGAGGTACTTTCGTCTTCTTGTTGCATACATTGGCTCGATCACGCATTTGAGAATAGTCATAGGAAGAGTATCTTTGCACTAATTATGGAATTTCAAATATATACATTACTATGATCTGGTAAATTCAACAGAAACCGTAAAAGTTTCCGTCTTGTTTGACGCCATGACTGACGCTAAATCACGCACAACGACGACGGTAGTTATCTGCATTTCTGACTAATTATCTTTGTTACATTGGAAAACATGGTAAACAAATAACAGTACGCAGATTGTCAGAATGCTTCTGATTACTTAAATGACACATTTATGTATATACGATCCCTCAATCAACGAAAATCCTCCTCTGGAAATCCCGCGGATTGTCAGTGAACACGCCATTTTGTAAAAGTCGGTCACTGGTCGTGATGTCACACGGAAGTAAACATTGTTGTACATATTTGGTAATATCTTTGAGGTGTGAACTTTTAACTCGGCATCCAGCGTGTTCTTTGTTTTTGTTTAGTTTGCACTAGTATCATCATCGCCTTGATAATCCACAGATATGGCGGAAACCTTTTTGTGTAAGGTCACATTATTTATGAGTAGTAAGCAGTACATAGTATGACGTCACTTGTGACAGTGGTGTTATGTATTAATGCGCTACTGCGATCACGAGAATAGACAAACTGCATCGATTCGATGCTAAAAAGGTGCGATTTTAGGCCAAATTTAGGGTGTGGAAGAAACAGATTACTGCTCTCGTGCCTGTCAAATACCATTCATCCTACAACTAGTTGTTACAAAGCGTATATAACTCGCTTTCGGTCGTTAGGTACGTTTTGAAACGACTCGTTGTAAGATCAATGGTATCTGACAGACACTCGTGTAGTAATCTCTATTTATTACCCACGTGGTGAAGATACAGGTGATAAGATACTAAATCCGTACGTCACACGTGTGTCGTACAAGGTTGACCTTGTTTTCTTCGTTTTGAATGGACCGTGACATCTGGCACACCGGGACTACATTTTTCATTCATAAAAATCGCGAGACGTCATTCATTTTGCAACTACAAGGGAGAACTGAAGAAATTAATGAGAACGAGAGATATTTACAAACACTTTATTAAACCATACAAAATAGTCACACGCATCAAATTTGGTTTGATACTGAAGTTAGCAGTACGTTTCACACTCCGGCGCAGTGGTGACTCAGCATAACACCACTGCCACAGGTTAATTTGCATATCACGTGACCAGACTTTTCTCTTGTTTTTAAACAAACGCGCTTCTTCAGAAATCAGAACAGAACGGACTAATGCAAGTATTTGGGGGCGCTTTACATATTGTGCTGCATAATTATGTAGATATGCTACTACAACTGCGACAGTGAGTTTCATGACAATACATATTTATACATTAAAGTGACCGTATCGCTAGCTCTCCGTTGGGCTTCGATGACATCACGTGGAGCCGTACAAGCAATGTAAACATAGGATAACTACGCAAAAACAAGTAGATTTTCACGTATTAGGATACTTTCCAAATAAATCGTAACCATTCTTTGACATTTTTTCATGAAAATGTGTAAACTTGTCAAACATGAAACGGATGAAAAGCATATGCAATATCTTGAATGGATTATGAAAGATGTGACGAATCGTCACATGGCGCTGGCCTGTGCCAGAGGTACTATGCTGGCTGGCTGCCGGCCGCATGGAACTCTGGGTAGGAGAGTGAGTACGTTTTAGACTTAAGACACTGCTTTCACTGTCTACAAACTGAAAACGTTGGAAGAATGATGTTGGATGATAAATAAAATCTCATCCTTGTATCTTTTGATAACAAATATATCAACACTCGTTAATAAAAGTTGAAAAACTATATTTGATATCAAAAGACACGAAGGTGAGATTCTCTATGTAGCTAATGGAAGATTAAAATCAGACATCACAGGGAATATGACTCCTGTCTCACATTTTTTATCATTTCTACTGATATTTTTACAAATATAATACATATGTCGGTTCTTCAGCAAACTGAGTCCATTTGCCAATACTATTTACTCTGAGAAACATCCTACCTTTAGCTTGTCAACCCAATAAGAGGCCTGCAACTACTCGTTTGTCAATTAATCATACAGTTAGATACAGACTCCCTGAAGATAAGATCACTTCGTATCACAACTAATTATACAGCAATAATAGAAAGGAAATGTTGAATGAATGTTCTCTATTATTAGAAGATTATTTTGATACTGCTGTTTAAATTTAGTGAAATTTTAAACCACTGTGGTGAAAATGCAGGTGCATATGTATGTGTGGTAGACGACAGATATCGATGGGTAGTAGACAATGGTGGATGGTATCGATGGTAACTAGTCGTCAGCGCGTGGTAGACATCAATGCACGGTGGGCATCGGTGTGTTGCAGACATCAGTGGATGGTAGACATCACTGTAAGGTTGGCGTCAGTGTGTTGCAGACATCAGTGGATGGTAGACATCAATGTGTGGTAGGCATCAGTGTGTTGCAGACATCAGTGGATGGTAGACATCAATGTAAGGTTGGCGTCAGTGTGTTGCAGACATCAGTGG